AGTGCAGAAATTCGAATTGTCGTTTTAACTGCTCTTCCTTGTTATTGTCGTTAAGTGCCATCAAGTCAGTTCTGACTCATAGCAATCTTGTGTTTAACAGTGCAATGCATATCCTATAGCACCACACTAGGACTCCGCTCTTCCTTGTAGGCACATGATATCATCCCATCAAGACAGCATCACTGTTCTTTAGGATAGCTCTTGAAATGCTCTTTTTGACAATGAATTTGACACTACTCTGTTCCAATTGGTCATTCCCAGCACAGTAGACATGTGATCGTCTAATTCAAAATGGCCAATACCGGTTCATTTCAGCTCACTAGTACCTAGGATACCCATCTTTACGCATTCTATTTCATTTTTTATATCTTCCTAGATTCATACTACAATGTCCTGATTATTAATGGATGTTTGAGCTGTTTTTTTCTTATTTTGAGTCATGCCCATCAGCAAAAGAAGGTCCCAAAAGCTTTACTGCATCCATATTATTAAGGTCAACTCTACATTGAGGAAGCAGCTCTTACCCAATGGTATATTAAGTGTCTCTCACCCTGAGGGGCTCATCTTCAGGCACTAGATCAGACAATGTTCCACTGCTACCAATAATGTTTTCACTGGCCAAGTTTCTAGAAGAAGAACACCAGGTCCTTCTTCCTACTCTGTCTCCACTGAAATTTGTCCACCATGGGTGACCCTGAAGATATTCGAAATACCGATGGTATAGCTTCCAGAATCACAGTAACACCAAGCCACCACACCACAACAAACTGACAGAGGCAGAGACTCAGCCTCACTCCTAGCTCCAAGTTATTTACACAATTTGTCTCATGTGTTCCCCCACAACCACCCTACAAGATGGGGGTGGTGGCTATGTGCTGTTGCATCAGCTCTGACTCATAGGAGCCCTGCATAGGGTTTCCGAGGCTGTAAATCTTTACAGGAGCAGAAAGCCCGTAGTTTCGAACTGCTGATCTTGAGGTTAGCAGCCCATCACCACTCATCACCACTACGCTACCAGAGCTCCCTACTCTACGAAACAGGTTGTATAATATTCCTGTTTGAGCCATGAGGGAAGTTGGGATAAGGAAAACAAAATAGCCTGTCCAAGGTCCCCAGTTTGCGGGACTGGCTGACATCCACATTTGAGTTATCTGACTGCAAAGTCTAGCAAACCCAGCATGCCACTACACTTCCCAGGTGGGGAAGGGGCTCACTTGGACTTCTTAGAAGGACTTAGTGGTTCCTGGGGACTTTTAAAGAGCATGTTGGTGTGTGTGTGTGTGTGAGTGTGTGTGTGTGAGTGTGAACATGCAGTTTCTCAGGAAAAGGACTTTGCTCTTAGCAACACCACAAAGAACTCTTGGCCCAGAAAAGGCTCAGACCCACGGATGTGGAGTCAAACCTTTGGCTCCTAGGTTAGAGTTTTGTGGCCTCAGGCAGGTCAGGTGGGAACAAGGGGCAAATTTTCTCTGGGGATTTACTGAGGAGATGTTTCAGATTTGAGGATCTTGGTTTTTTTGGTTTTGTTTCAATGTTTTACCGCTGTTTCTCTTGGCTCTTTAATCACCAATAAACCCACAGTGCTAAAGGAAACACGGTCTGCTTCTAGGGTCAGCAGTTCGAAACTACCAGCTGTTCCACGAGAGAAAGATTAAGATTTACAGCCTCAGAAACCCTGTACAGGGTCGCTATGAGTTGGAACCGACTCCATGGCACATAACCACCACCACCACCAGTACCTAGAGTAGCTCTCAGGGCACACCAACCCCCCACAAGCAGCCTGGCCCCCCAGGTCAATGCCCCAGGCTCCACTCTCACCAAAACCCCTCCTGGATGCCTTAAGAAGTACCCAGGGCCTGGAATAACCAGTTGCACCCCTCTTCCTGGCCAGTGGCAATGTGACCCTGGAGGGCGCACTTCCTCTTAGTGGCCTTGATGGAACTGGGCCGACTCCAAGATGGCCAAACTTCATCTCTCATACTTTGGACATATTGTCAGGAGGGACCAGTCGCTGGAGAAGGATATCATGTTTGGTAAGGTGGAGGGTCAGAG